GGGTCGGAGCTGCGCAGCGCCGTTGAAAAGTGGTGCGCCGAACTGCCAAGCTGCCTTTCTCAGCTGTTGAATTGTGTGCCGTGGTAGCAAGATGTAGTGTGTAGTGAGTGTAGTGGCATGCCGCAGCCATTTCCGGATTAAAGCAGCCATTTCATTTCCTGAAAAAAGCTATGATGTCCTCCCACCCATCCTCCGGCATGGTTTTGCGTGGAGTGGTTGCCCATGTCGCGAATCCTGGTGGTCTTAATGCAGGGCAAAGCAGAAGTGCCGCAAATCCTGGCGGCGTGGTTGCCCTTGTCTCGAATCCTGGTGGTCTTACCCCAGGCGGCCGTGCCCGAGTGGTCGTGACCGTGACCGATGTGCCCGGTTACTACGGCACCCTGCAGATCGAGGCAGAGTACGGGTGGCGGCTGGATGATGTCAAAAGAGTGCTGCAAGGGGTCATCCACGACGTCCACATCCCGTTGGGAGACTGGGGCTTTCATGCATTGACCCGCAGCACTCCATACAACATGCCAGTTTCCCATTTGAGGGCGGAAGATATGCCCTTGCGGTTTTGCTGGCATGAGTGGAGCGACAGCTGGAGACAAGCGCACTCGCAGCAGTGATGGTCTTACCTCATTGCCGGTCTCCAGCCGGAGAGAAGCGCACCGGCAGCAGTGATGATCTTACCTCATTGCCATCATGGATGTTTTTTTTGCCTGGCGGCCGGCGATGATGGTCTTACCTCATCGCCTGGAAGAGTGGTAACTTTAACGCAGAGACGGCCGCGCGAGGTCAAATCTGCGTCTGCACTCAGGCTTCNNTCCCTAAGCTCAGTTTCGGCAGTACTTGTAGAGAGGCTTCAGGCCCGACTTGAGTCTAGGGCTTAGGGTTTTGGGCTTGGGGACCTCCACCAAAAAACTGCCCCCAAGCAACCCGACCCACCTAAAACCCGCGAAAACACAGCAAAAGCAGCCCCGAAGCGAAGCAGCGACAAGGCTCACCAAAAGGCACCGGAAAGGCTCCAACTTACCCCGAAGCAGCGAAAAGGCTCACCAAAAGGCTCCAACTTACCGACGCCCCCTTCGGTAAGTTGCCCCACCGCCGTCGGTAAGTTGAAGTCATTCTTGCCACCTGTGTCTGCTGCAGCCACTTCGGGTCGAGCACAAAAGCCTTGTCTTCATGCCTTTGCAATGGCACCAAGGAGTGGCGCGCAAGTCAGAGCTCGTGAACCCGCAGCTGTTGTGAGGCCTTTGGTCTTACCCGGCCTGACCAGGCAAAAGCCAAAGGCTACCCCGAGGCCCGCGGTCGCACCCAGGATCACCAGGCAGAAACGCAAGGCGCAAAGTCCACAGCAGCCTGCCCTCCGCAAGCAGGCTCGGCAAGTGACTTCCAAATCGAAGAAACGCCCACCTGCCTGGAATAAGGGCCGCAAGCACAGCAAAACAAGCAAACAGCACGTCTTTATCCCTCGCGAACAGCTACCGCTTTTTTTTGCGGTGGCACTGTACTTCGCTGGTCCCTGCTATTGCGCTGTCCTGTGGATAACTCTTGTCACGTCGAGGAGGATTGGGGAAACAGTGCTGCTCAAAGGTTCAGATGTTCGCCTGTGCGGTGGCGAGGATCATGATTCGCCCCACATTCTCTTTCAACGCGCAGAAGGCGATCAAGGAAACGGAAAGCTGCCCGAGGAAAGAGTTGTTGCCAGACTTTCAGACGAAGCAGTGGACGGATTGACCCGAATGAAAGAGGAAGGCTTAAATTGGCAATGCCTGCCAGCTCTAGAACCATACCGGACAACCCACCCAACAGTCTTCCAAGGCAAGAAAGGTGGTGGTTTTACCCCGATGCGACAGCAAACTTTCAAACCTGATTGGGGAAATTCAGACTACATCTTTCCGTCGGAATCCAAAAAGAAGGGTTGCCGAGCAACCATGGCAAGGCAAACGGTATGGGGTGCTTTGGACCGTGTGCGGCAGGTGATGTATGAGCTCACAAACCACGAAAGGCGGTGGAACCCGAGTGTTAGATGTCGAGGCAACAGAGTCACTGTTCATGGCGCCACCCGCCACACAAGCGCTGCTCTCCTGCTGTTCAACAGCGACAAATCGCTCGAGAGCGCCAAGCCGTCGCAACATGTAATCATGGAGCTGCAGAATCGGTCTGACCCACGAGTTTTTTTGAGACATTACTTCCACGCGCATGAAGAGGAAATACAGAGAGGCTTGCAGTATGGAGCTGCTCCAAGCCCATTCAAAAAGAAGACCGACAATCAAGGACAAGAGCGCACCGTGGTCTTACCCGTGCCAGTTGAAACAAATTCCGCAAACGTCGCACCGATCCCACAAGAGCAGGTCGCCAACCTTGCAAGCAACCACAATTCCTGCACGGGGGCAAGCTGCTCATCCGGCTCCGCTGGGAATTCAACACCTGGGCCTGCTGCTAAACCCCCAAGCTTGATAGCAGCGAAAGCCAAGTCGGCTGTGGCCCCAAAAGAAACTGCATCTCAGCATCACCATGCTTATGTCAGCCGAAACGCGTGTCGTCAAGCCCGACGGAAGGAGAAAAAAAAAGCAGCTCAAGCTCAAACAGCTCCAGTGTCCTGGTATTACTGAGTTGCGGAGGTCTTATCCTGTGCCGTTTTGATGAGGACTCGACTTGCAGCGACAGATTGTCGGCAAGGAGCGCAAGCTTCAGGCCAGTACTGGTGAGATGCGGTGGTTTTACCCTGCATCAGGTTCATTTTAAGCTATGTGAGATGCCGTGGTCTTACCCTGCATCCGGTTAATTTTCCCAACGTTTCCGTATGTAGACAAACTCTATCGTGCAGAGGGCGAAAAACCGAATGCTCTAAGGTGCAGTGGGTGCGTCCGACCAGCTGTACCTTCAGGGTTAGTAAGGGTCTCAGGAGTTAAGGGTTAGACAAGGCTTCGGGGCTTAGGAGCCAGATGATGTTGTAGAACAGAGCAGTGTGAGAGATGTGGGCCCCTTGCATGTTCGGCACGGCCAGGAAGGCCCCATGCAAGTATTCTGTGGCGCCACACCCCTGCTCGAACATCTGTATCCGTATCGCATCGTCTGTATGTTCTTGACCTTTTACTTGACATTCCAGATTTGATGTTTATTGTGAAACAGGTGTGTGCACAACCTTTCCATGCTTCTAGACAGCTGCCAGTTCGTCGGCTGTGGACCCCTTGCAGGGCTATTTCTTGCAAGTTTGTGGATCCACGCCCCTGGCTAGTAAAATCTAAAATCTACCGCCCTCGTCATTGTTATCTGCTGACTCGCAAGATCTCGCAAGAAACATTAAAGAGCTCTTTTGCNNCTTCGCAAGAGCAATGGCCTCACTTTTTGCTTTTAGGTTTCCGGGCGCTGGAACCTTGAACTCATGGGGCTGCACAATTTATAGAGCCATACCCTGGGTTTAGGGCTTAGGGTTAAGGGTTCAGGGTTTAGGGTTACGCGTTGAGGTTGAAACCACCATGACACCCAACGACTGCCGAAAATGCTTGCACGGCAAAAGCTCAAGTTATTGGGGCAACAGGTCTTCGTGTGGGGTCAGTTTAAACTTCTTTAGTGTTGCCAGGCTTAGGGTTAACGGTTTAGAATAAGGGTTCAAGGTTTTAGGGTTTAGGGTTTTATGGTATTCAATACCCCAAACCCTAAACCTTAAAACCTAAGCCCTAAACCCTCAACCTGAAACCC